ACAAGGCTACAAAGATTTATAATCAATTAAAATATTGATAAAGAAAATATAATAAAAATCATTCAATTAGATTGAAATGATGTTTTAATATAAATAATAATTTTTAAAACTTGTTCAAACCCTTATTGTCTTATGTCTTATGGCTAAATGTTTAGGGTTGTTAAAAGGACTTTTTGTTCGTGAACATCTCGTGTTCGGCTTGTTCGTATTCGGCTCGCTAAGCAAACAAGCCGAACACGAACACACTTTTTGAGCTCGAAATATAACTTGCTATCGCTCTTGTTCGCCTCGTTTACACACCCATATATATATATATATATATATATACAGAGGAGATAGGTCCAAAAAGGGTTTGTTTATTGATGCTTCAAGTGCCCTTGCTAATTGAAATTATATTTACAGTATTGAATGAAAGGGTTCAAAATTGCGAAAAAGAAAAAGAAAAGGTTTGTTTTGTAAAAAGGGTGGGAAAAATGATAGGATCTCTCATTGGGCCTGGCTCTGTCCTTTCAAGAACAATTGGGGACAAAGCAGTAAAGCAGCAACATGGCCTTCATGTGCTGAGCAGAAATGTAAGCTTTTCTCTCCATCTTTCTCTCTTATCTCTTTTTTAAAAAAGTTATATTTTAATTTTATTTTTTTATATTTATTTTTTTATGTGTTAGGGCAATTACGAGGGGCATACGATTGAGAGATAGTGATTCCTGGTCGAGGGGCCTGCTGTGGCTGTTCTTTGCTGTTCGTGGCATTTTTTAATCATAAATACTCTGCGCCTTGACTAAAAATATTAAAATAATAATTGTAATAGTAGAGATTAAATGTCTTGAAAAATGCAATTACTAGTTTTTAGTATTATCAAACCAAATTCTTTTGGATAATTTATTTATTCCTAATTAGTGTGTTGTTGTTCTAACACTTTTTAGGGTCTGTTTGGGGCAGCTGCATATGTTTGAAAAAAACAGTTATGTCGTAGTTGTAGATTAAGTTATTGTGGGGGAAGCAGTGTGTATATTTGGTTAGTTTAATTGTGCATCAACTGTGCTGTAGTTTTTTCTCTGAAATAAAGATGTATTGCCCTTATATACATATGATATTTGTAAGTTAATCATTTCAGAACTAACACGTGCATAATAACATAAACAAAATTATTAGAAATTATGAAAAACTCTCACAAGTCAAGAAAATTCAAATAGAGAGCGAGACAAGAAGATGCTACTTGTTGTATAAATTAGAATAACTGATTCAATGGTATGAGTTATCAGACCATCATAAGCGAAGTCTAGAGCATCTATCATATGTGTGGCTCCATACTTTTGAATCTTCTTATTTTTTTCACACCTTATTATAAAATTCATATTCATTTATATAAAAACATTTATCTTTTTGTGACCTTATTGGAGCCATTGAAAAGTACTCTAATTTCTTCTGATATTGACTCTTAGCTCTTATTATCTATATGTAATAAATGTGTCACTATATCTTGTAAATATTTACCAAGTAATCAAATAAAGCACAAATTTTTTCCAGCCACATTGAAAGAAGAAAGAGTTATAAAGAGCTCTACAACATATTGATCATTCCAATTCTAACCCCTTCAAACCCAGAAAATTCTTGAAAGAGAAAATTCCAAGCACTTTTCTTATTTGAACACCACAATACTTTGGAGATTGACTCATATTTCAATCATCAATAGCTTGATCCAAATAAAAATTTTTGGCTATATATATATATATATATATATATATATATATATATATATATATATATATATATATAATTATGTAGCTCGACATTTCTAAAATTTGTCGTACATTTGTCGTACAAATATCTGACAGTGACACATGTCTGACACGCTGCAATATTTCTCCGACACTACAAAATATGTGTGAATTTGTTTCAAGTTCGAACACGTCCGACACACACCTCAACACTGCATCAGACGTAAGCTTAACATGATTTCGAAAAAATGAGACACCGAAATAAAAAAAAAAATTATAAATGTATGCACAGCCTTAATTATATCTTATATCCAAAACTGTCCGGTCTCTTATCATGCTGAAGCTCCCTCTAACCTTCATCAAAATCAAGCATCCAAGTTGCATCCAATATTCATCACAATTGAGCATCATTAATTCCTTCTTTGTAATCATATGATTTTTAAATTTTTAGCAAATAAATTGAATGAATTCTTTTAAAACACTTTATATCTAATTTTAAAAATTAATTTTAATAAGCATGTGATTTTATAATATTAAATTTTATTCTGGCATAATCATATTATGATTTTTTTTAATAAATAATTATAAAAAAATATATATATATATATATATATATATATATATATATATATATATATATATATATATATATATCCATCTATCTGGTGAAAACATACGAAAGAATAAATTCATCTGATAAAACTAATCCAAAACAAGATGGTACAGACACACGTACGACTCTTATGCCTCATAAAAAAACATAAGCAGGATTTATGAAGTGCTGATCCCCACATCATCCCCCCCTTTTCAAATTAGTTTTAAACTCATGAAATTCAGCAGCAGGGACGCGAGCAGGCCACATGGCCTCTGCTCCCCTTCTGCATTAACCGTCCTTTGAACATCACATCCCCTCACATCATTGAATTTAGATTTGTCTTTATATCAAAGCGAAAAAAATTGCTGTATGTATCCCGTAAACCTCCATACTGTACCTTCCAGTAAATTCTGTGTTTTTATTTTCATATATATAGGTAGGTTATAAGAGTATAACGCGATTATAACCTCTCAAAATCCTCCATCTAACATGTTTGTAAATTATAGATGTACGCATCTCTGTGTGCGTCTTATGTACTCAATTTTTTTCTGAGACAAAGAGAGGGAAGAGAGGGGAGGCCGCAACGAATTATCTTTTTGAGGCAAATTAGGACATTTATGAGCTATTGGGCTTTTTTTTTGTATAATCGAATATTTTTTTATATATACGAGAAATTAAGGAAATAGACCAAAAGTCACTCTTACATGAAAATACCTTCTTATTTTATAGTAGAGAGAATGCAATGAAGAAAATTTAGTGAGAGCTTTACAAGTTACCTTAGGTCTTTGACGTAAGTGAGCTCACGGCTCAATGCTCAGCCAATGTTCGGTCGTCCAGACTATCAGTCAGTCGTCTAGTCTGTCGGTCATCCCCTTCAGAGTTTCAGTCTAACACAATTTTGCTATACAAATATAAAAGTTTAGACAATACACATATAGAAATATAAAAATCATGTCATATGTTCGTAAGCTCATAAATTTTTGCATATCTTGGGTCTAAATTGATGATTTTGCACATTTAATAAATTTATAACTGCTAGCTAACATCTTAATGAATTAAATTACAAATGCATACTCCAATAATGGTAAATTGAAGAGGCCTAGACGACCACGTAGCTAATGATAAGAGGTTATATAATTCTTAAAGAGTAATATTTTTATAAAAAACTTCTATAGGCCACAAGTCTTATTCAGCTGATCTCATTAGCGATTCCATCAAACACGTGGGATCAAAATGAAATCACTGAATATATTATATAAATATGATTTATTTTAATATATAGTCATTGACATAGCTGCTATGTGATATTCATTACTATCCTCCATAATGCATGAATATTATGCTAATGCGCTTTACTACAATAATCCAAGTTTATGTATCTGACGTAGGGGTGTAGATAAGTAGAACTTGTCTTCGTATTCAGTTTGTTTGAAATAAGCTCGTGTTTGAAATTGTTCGTGAAGTCATTGTTCGTGTTTGTTTCTTAACGAACGAGCCGAACACGAGCTGTTCGCGAACGACGAGCCAGTT